TATCAAACGTATCAAAGGAAGAACTTTGGGAGCGTACAGATCACGTATGTGCGAGTACTGAAGTTAAAAAACGTAAACGGAATTGGATACGGCATACTTTCCGCAAAAATAACATCTATATTATTTAACAAGCGCTGAGGTGGAATCCTCAAGGTTCCCGCCGTCCTGGTGCCCTCGCCAAAACTTGGCGAAGAACTGTTGAAGGCAAAGAAGCAATAGAGTGAGATTTAGAGGGTTTGTTGAGGCTCTATGCGCGACTGCGAAATGAAGACTGCAGTAAGTAAATAAGTAATCATTTCAGTAAGTAATCAATCATACCAACACCAAGGCAAAAATTTTTAACGCATGTGCCAAATCGGTATGCTTATATGGATCGGAAACCTGGCTTGCTAATTCCGAAATCGAAAGAAGGTTGCAATCATTTATCAATCAATGCCTGCGCAACATATTAGGCTTATGGTGTCTTAAAACGATTTCAAATGAAGAGTTATGGAGTATAACGCACCAAACAAACGTAAACAACAAAATAAGAAGAAAGAAGTATGGCTGGATTGGACACTGCGTTTGCCTTATGAAAATATCGCGCATGCTGCACTTAGTTGGAACCCTCTGGGGACTAGGCGCAGAGGCAGAATAGCAATGACATGGAGAAGAACAGTTCAGCAAGAGACATGCAAATCGTTTAACGAGTTGAAAGCAATAGCACAAAATAGAAACCAGTGAAAAACTTTTATAGACTCCTTAAACTCCTAATGGAGTATGGAAATAATAATAATAATATTTAATTACAAATAGTAATTATATTAATGAAATAATAAAAAATTAAAAATGTTATTTTATATATAATATATTAATAATAATAATATTGTCAAATACCTTGACGAGTGTTTTCTCTTAGCAATTCTACACTTTGATAGTTTGTTGAGTTATTGAACGATGTGATAGAACACATTAGTAAGCCAATATTTTCAGGATCTGAAATCAATTTTGGTTTTTCCATGATTTCATTATGAGTTGTTGGTTTTGGGGAAATAAACATATTTTGGTCTACGTGATGTGTATTCTTTTTAATACTTGATGGCGATGAAATTTGTAGAACTGAGTTCTCTTGCAATAGTATGTTGTATATATTTTGATCAATTTCACATTCATTATAAAGTGGGTGTGACGATATTTCTTTATCGTTGTTTGTAACAGATAACTCCTTTATTTTATGTTTATTTACATTATGTGGTCTTCGAAGCTGAATGTTTTCGTTAAAATTAGTCTCAATATACAACGGTTCATATAAGGTTAAGGGACTTCCAACATTTTCTAAATTTTCATTATTATATGTAACATCTTTACATATTGGATCTGGTATGTGGGTAGTAACTTGATTATACGGAGCTACAGAAATTTTATTTGGTGGTGAATCTGCGTTCTTACTATATGTTTCGGAATAATCAAATATATTTCGATTGCGAAGATTATCATTGAATATTTTTGAATTATTTCTGAGATCATCTGGAGTGCGGATTTTCTTTAAACTATTTAAATTTGTGAACATTGCAAATTGTTGTTCTTGCAAAGCATTTTCTGCTTCATTGGCAGAAAATGAGTTCGAATGAATAAAGTAATCTATACTATTTTCAATGTCGGGATCAATTTCATCTGAAATGTTTGTTACTTTTGTTTTAAAAAACTTATTAAAAAATTTATCTCTATTTAAAGTTTCTTTGTTTGTTTTTTTCTTGGGTTCATAACGTCGTCGTTTTGGTTTAGTTTTATTATTTATTTTTTCACTAGGATCAGTGTTTTGTGATTTATAATCTATATTTTTGTTATTATTATTTGTTTGAGAGCAAAGTTTATCCCTATCATTTTTCATATTACTTTGTTTGCCCTATAAATTATTATTTTAAGATTTTTATATGAATCAGTGTTTTTAATGGTTTACCTTAGGTTTTTTGTTATTTTCTAAGTTAGTTGTTTCATGATCGATTTTACGTCTTGCGACTTTTTTTACGTTATTCTTAGAAGAACCTGTATTAACACCCGATGTACTTGGAATATTATCATCGTTTTCAACCATTTGTGTTTGTTCGTATTGGATCATATTCGTATATGAACGTTGTAAAATTGTTTTAAATTTACAACTCGAATACTTTGCACAAATGACATGCATTTTACATTTATCCTGTAAAATGTTTACATTTTCGTTTGGTGACTCTGGATCGTCATCAGGTATTTGAAGCATCATCTTCATTAGATTTGTTTTTTGTTCTATACTAAATATATCATTATCAATACCATAAAGAAACTTATACAGTTCTGGGCAATTGTCTTCAGTTATCTCGTTTATAAATTTATTCCATTGAGGTTCGGTAAATTTTTTAAAATCTTTATGTGTTAAATTTTTCAATAGCGGTTTATTAGCATCTTGAAGAGAAGGAACGAGCGGTTTTCTTTTAGAACTTTTTACAGCTGGAAAAGTTTCAATTTGTTTCTGCATCTTGGAAGTTAATGGCTTTTGGGTTTTAGTTTTTGAAGATGGTAGGTAGGTTTCTTTATTATGTGATGAAGCCTTTAATCTAGGCCGTTGATTTTCATGATTTTCAGTTTCTAAATTACGTTTTTTCGGGGTAATCCTAAATATAAAAAAAAAAAACATATTTCTATGAATCTGTTTGTAGTGACATATAAAATACGAACATAAAGTATGAAAATTAATAAAAAATGATTAATAATTTAACAACATAATAATAATTACAATAGAATAACTAATTTTAAATTGCAATAATGGTAAATGTTACTGATTACAGATAATTGAAACAATCAAAAGCAGGGAAACTTATAAAAGCATCTTGATCCATTTAAAAATGGCGTGTCAAGCCGGACAGGTAAGGAAACAGATCTTCCCCTGACTATACAATCTACAGATAAGCCATTGCAAACATACTTTAAAAAAAGTATTTTCTATCAACCCTGTCTACTTGACTGGTGGGCAGTGATAGTTTGGGAGGAAGCTTTAAAATTGCACTTCTTTTAAATTATTTATAATATAACTTAAAGTTATATTAAATAATTTTATAATTAAGGCGGAACTTTTACTTTTAACAGAAAGAGACAGATTAAAATCGAAAAAATATGGTACTTCAAGTAAAATTACTACCTGTATCCGCAGATAATTCAACTTATTATCTTACTTTTTCTATTACTTAATTAATTATTACTACATATCTTTTATTACACAAAAAAAAATCTAACTTAATTGAAAAGGCATGCTCCTGCCTTTTTATGTTTCTTAAGAAAGGCATAGGTATTTCTGAAAATCTTACATGGCCCATAAAACAAAAAATAGAAGAGAAATCTATTTGGGCCTATTAGATCTTTCCGATTTTTTTCGCCATCTACTTTGCTTTTATACCTTCATTCTATATACTTAATTATATCTTTATTTATTTTAATACAAGGCTAGAACATAGAGTGATTTGTGAGCTAATTTAAAAGGAAGCTTTTGTGAACGATTTTTGGTTAGTAAAAAAAGTAAGTTAAACATACAGACGACATTATAAATATTAGCTGAACGAAATGAAGACCGTTATGGAAATATCCACTTTATGAAAAAATGAGGTATATATTGGCTAAGATATGTAATAAGGCACACAAGTTCCAGGTTTATACAAAACCATGTTTAAAAAATGGATTAACGAAGACAAAGAGAATTTGAAGATAGTGCACGGGAATAGTGCTGCTTTTAGAAGAATTGTTAGTCCATAAATTACCGAAAAAATGTAAAAAAATATTATAATGAAAATAAATTAATATTTAAAAATTAAAATAAAATAACATCCATAAGAAAAGAATAAAGTCTAATAAAAATTCAAATTTAATGTGATAGTTAATAAATTTGTTAAAAACACTGTCATTATTAACAGACTTTGCAAAATAAGGTATATTATATATAAGTACAATTGAGAGCAAACAGAGGTTTTGTAGTAACTGTAGCTATTGGGAATTACATATGTTTAAAACATTAATATTTTCCTGTCTTGAAATAAATTTACTTTGTGACTTTTACTCGTTCGGAAAAAGGAAGCGGCAAATGTAAAAAAGGACACTATTTGTATAATAAATGTATAATTTATCAATATATAGGACTTATCAAAGTTTTCTATATTGAAAGTAACGATTATTTAACATTTTCAAAACTAAGTAAAGACTGGTAATGTTTCTGCCTTGAGTCATAGCTCCCAGGATAAATTCGGCAGTGACAACAATTGAAGAATGGCAACAAAAAACCATGATTGAAGTCAAAATTTGAAGTAACTTTAGTTTGTAATAAACTGTTATATTATGAAAGATAATGATGATGATGACGACGATAATATATAATGAAAACATACTTGACTATATAGATTTGACTTCAAATTTAATAGTATAAGAACCGAAATAGTAAGGTCATTTTGTACTTTAATGATCATTTTTTCATTTAAACAATATTAATACTATTTTCTTACCTTTTAGTTAGGGGAGTATTACTTTCTGTAAATAGCTGCCTTTTTCTTGTGCTTGGATTTAAAACAGAAATCTCGCTGCTTATAGGTGATACTTGACTGAATTCGTTCAAGGATTGAATCATATCAACACTTCTTATGGTGGATAACGGGGTTGAAGACAAAACTTTTTCATTATCTTGCATATTGTTATTAAACTGGCAATCCTCTACATTTTGCGGTGAAACTATGCAATAAGAAAATAAATTTTAGAAATAATTTTAAGTTTTGTAAGAGTTTAAATTATTATTTTGAATAAAACTTACAGTTCTGAATTCTTTCTTCATCACAGAAACTATTCATAATATCATTATATTCGTGAACAGTCTCATTAAGACAGCAAACTGGATCAGAATATTGAACATTAAATTTATTTAAAAGCTCTTCATGTTGTTTAAGGTGAAACACATCTTCTTTAGAAGTTTCAATTGTGGCATAAGTTGCATTGTAAACATCTTGAAGATATCGCAAACAATTGGAATAAATAATTGGAGGTCTAAGGAAAACTGTTAGCTTTGTATTTGTTCTGAAACAATATATACAATGAAAATTAGAACATTAAAAGTTTAAAATATTAACATACAAATCAATTTTGTTTATGGAAGCAATTACTGATATATCGACAAATTCGCCATTTTCTTTTGATCTGCAACGACCAGTAAATGTTAAAGTGAGAGGACAAGAGTTTAAATCCACCCAAAAATGCTCAGAACACTAAAAGAAAATTTTATGAAATATATAAGTTTAAAAACAAAAATTAAATATTCATTACCGATGGTTTAAAGAATTCAATTTTATCTTCAATAAACAATGAATAACACTTAACTGAATAAACCGAAGTATTTTGCATAGTTCGCATAT